CAGCAGGAAGATTGTTGGTTCTGGTGCTTAAGTTATTTACTGTGTCTGTTAATGCTGTGTGAAACAGAGTAGTATTCAGCGCATTCTTCTGTGGTTCTGTTGGTTCAAACTTATTTCTAAGAAGAATTAGCGGATATGCCTTTCAATATGCAGCAAGATGTACCTCTTGTATACATGACATTTTATCACCGCTCATAGATGATAATTACACTCCAGTTCCCTGTTGTTTCTGGGTGCATCATATGCTAAACTGGTGGGCATAATTTAAAGATAGCAGCAGGTTTTCATCCCTTACCATAATTTGAACCGTGAAACATGAATCCTTGTTCTGTTTTTGTAGCAAAATGCTTCACAACATTGTTACTCAGATGCATTATAAACTAGAAACAAATGGTTGTGTTGTAAAGCTCTTACATTACCAGTCATCATTTTTACAGATACAAAGCTGCTTTCTTAGGTATTACACTAAGTAGAAACATGAGGAACTACTGTTGCTTGAGGACTGTGAATAAAAAGGTGATGTTAGGTATTTTCAATGTGATGTCTGTTTGTAGGAAGGCTGGCTGCTGCCAATTAATAGAATGTAATTAATAGTATGTGATTAATGCTTACTAAAAATCAAACACTATCATTAACAAAAATTGAGTGGATCTCTCAAGTCATTGATTCCCCTACTCACAAGCAATCCAGTTTTTTATAATCTGATTAAATTGTATGCATTACTTGTATCGAAAATCTGATCTAAACCCTTCTTCTGAGAGCTAGAAATTTTCCTTTAATTTCCTGCCCAGGTAAACCTAAGGCTAGTTTGCTTTTGTTATCTCTCTCTTCTTTACTTAATGTATTTAGAGACAATATGATTCTTATCCTTAATTTTGCAAGGTTAAACAAGCAAACAACATTAACCTCTTCTCGTAGGATAGTTTCTGGTCCTGACAAATCTCTTTTGCATTGATTTGGTCCCATGCATTTGATAAAGATGCAGGTTCAGAATTGTGTGAAATTGTCTGCTGTGTCTTTCAGAAATATTCTGACTGATGCAACACAAAATCTTGTTTCCCTTTTCTGTGGAGGATTCACACTGATATTTCATAATGTCTCTATGTGACCTCACTATCTGCTAATATTCTTACGTTCTCCTTACTTGTCAATTATTTCCAGTTTAAAAAGTCAACTTTCCTAAGATATTTAGTCACCTATCTCTTTAAAACCTGGGTGTAGGATTATGTGTGTTATATTATTAGAACAAGTGAATGTCTGCAGTGTTTCTTCTCCAGTTCTCTGGCTCTTCGTGTGGGGTGTCTTCTCCTCTTGTCTCCTCATGATGTCCTCAACTTTGCGTCGTGAGCAATGTCCCAGATTTTGTGCCACTGTCACTAGGTATGATATTGTTCTTCAGCAGCTTCTGTAATGACTTCCCTCCAAACTGGCAGTTCCCCATTTAAACATAGCTGGTTATTCTTTCTCTGTTACCCAGTTCATATGCATTTCATAATTCCAGTCTTAATCCTTATCTTCTCCAGGCTGACAGTTTTTCTCATAACACCATACCAATTGACTTGCTGAAATCTGTTTCCTTGTCCAGAAAAGTAGTATCATCCATAGCTTAGTGTTTCATTTGCTTATAGTACTTGTTATTGAAAACATCCTAATGCTTACTATGCCTGTAATTAGCTGATTATTTTTTTTTTAACTCATCCTTTGATTAAGGTACTCAGCTTGCTGCTGTTCAGCCAAACAGCATCATCTTGAACACAGTACATTTTACATGTGTTCTTCATATGGATGAAATGCCCCTTAAAGTCGCTGGAAATAGTCAAGAAATCTTCATCTTTAGGGGAGCTAAACTCTGAAGAGTATGGTGAAGAAAGACCAAGAATAGTTCTGTTTATCTTATTTCTAAATTTATTAGAAGTCTGTTTTAGATAAAATGGTCAACAGTTTAGTACTACTGTAGATTTAGGAAGAGCTAGTGGATGAAGGATTAAATTCCATGTCTTCTCTGTTAAATGGGAGAAATTGTTCTTAAATAACATTCAAAGAAAAAATATGTTAATTTAAAAAGCACCATTTGCATTCAATCTTTTAATATGTGAGATTCTTGCAATAATAAAGTAGGTTCGTTTGGGCTTTTGTGTATATGTAATAAGAACTTTCCTTTTTTATTACATCAGTAAATCACAGAGATTACAATGATTTCAGAGCTTGCAATGCAAATTACATTGTGCTTACGTATTAGCTATTGTATTTCTCTGCCACAATAATAAAGCATTGCCTTTATTCTAATTTGTTTCTTCTCATTTTTTTAATTCCTGCTTGCAGTTCAGAGTTACTCAGAGCACAATTAGATTATTCACATTTCGTGCCAACTTCTAGTTTCAGCTAGCGTTAACAGAGGCAAGCAGAAGTCCTTGCCAACTCTTGAGTTAGTTGTGCTGTAAGAATTGTTCTTCAGGAAAGTCACTAAGTCATGCAATATAAAAAAAAAAAGTTGTACCTCCATGTATTATCTTGAATTGAAGACAACTTCTCCCATTCATTGCTTTCAGTGAATGTAAAGTGGTTGTATCAGGTCAGACAAACATTCATTTGACAAAATATCCTCTCTCTGCAGTAACCAATAAAAGAAGCCAAGGCAAGGGTGTAAGACAATAAAGACACTCTGATACAGCCTCAGCAGGGTCTCCGGGAGTCTGCAGTACAGCAGTGTGGTGGAGAAAGTGTACCTTTGTGTTTAACATAGCAATGATGGAAGTCTCCCACTAAGGTGTTGACTCACTTTTTGAAGCCATGCAAAATTTTACCATCAGCAGCTTGCCGTACCAGTAGGTTCTGTGGCTGAGCTACATATTTCCTTTTCTGTTTTTGAATCTTGAGAGCATCATTGTAGGTGTCATAATTCTTTATGTGAGAAGAGACAATGACTATTCCTATCCATTTCCCTTATGGTGCTAGTGACTTTATAGATCTCGGGATTACTCCCTTTCACCTTAGTCATCTATTCATCTTATGATGCACCTGTGTGATCATCTAGTGACCTTGGTTAGTACCTTTCTACATATGTTATCAATTTCACGTGAGACATTATGATACTAACAAAGTACCTTCCCACAGCCTTCAAGATTCAGATGCACTATGGACACAACCATTTAATGATGTTTCTGATTCACTCTAGAGTTGTCCTCATGCTATCTGCTTTTTCTTTCATCACTACTGAACATCGATGTGACATTTGCACAGAATTGCCTACTGTGTAGCTAGGTTCTCTTTCCAGACTGCTAGCAGCTTGCAGACAGTCTGACATTCTTCAGGTGTAATTAGGATTGCCTTCTTCACATGTGCTTTGCATTTATCTGCACAAATTCAATCTGCCATTTTATTACCTCGCCATTCAAAATCAGGAGAACTTTTGCAGGTAGGTTTACTTTTGCCATGCTGAATAATTTTAATTTATATTCAGTAAATCTCGCCACCTTCCAAATCACCTCCTTTTCCAGATCATTTATGACTGCATTGACCAATTCAGGCCCTTGCACAAATCTATTCTCCAGGAAACTTAATCATGTTTCGCTTTGCCTCCTAGGCTTGACCACCTTGCTTAGTAATTCAAAGTAAAGTTAGGGTCATATTGAATTGCTTTCATCCAGATGTTAATAATTTGAGTAAAAAGACATTTTTGTCCTACAATATTGAAAACAAATTTCTGTGTGGCACCAAGATTAAAACCTTCTATCTTCAGGAAGAGCTTATGATTTCAGTATCATATTTGTTCTGAACTGTTTTCTCTATATTGAGATCTATTACAAGTGTTCAGTAACATAATTTAAAATGGATTAGTACAGTTCTATATATATGTGATAATATTGTGTTACTGAGTTGATTCAAATTTTCTTTCATTGCTGCTGATAATCTGTTCTTGATTATCATAAGCAAAATCATTAGTATAATGGACTACATCCTCTGTCTGTGATTTCGATGGAGCATTTCTAGTAAACCAAGGCATCTGAAATTGTAATGTAATAAAAGTGCGGTATTTATGTTAATAGAATATTCCTGTTAAATGAATGCTGCTAATGAGTCTGTTGTGTAGCTGAGCTTGTAATAAGTTAAGGGTTACAGAAGAATTTGCACAATAGGAGGACAGCATTTAGTTTTACAGCTATAGTTTGTCATCTCTTAAAAATATTTTTGATAAAATACTTTATACTATTTAAAATAAAATGTACTGTGAAAATTCAGGTACCATAAGTTAAATGTGTAACTGTAATTAATGGTTGTTTCAGTGGTACTCAAATACCTTTCTTCATTGTGGAGGAAGTAAAAAATCAAGTGATTCTTTATGATTAGAGGACTTAGGGAATATCAGGGTTTGTGGGGAAGGATGCTGATACCGTTCAGTAACCAAACAGCTTCCCCTTCTTTCTTGTGTTTTCAAGGTTATACATTTTCTTTATTTTCCTATAAAGAGATTTTAATGTGAAATTCTAAATGTGAAAATCATGGATTCAACTTTTTCCAGAAAAGTGGAGAATACAAAAACACAGTCACCTTGCAGAGCACATAGTAAACAGCTTTAAATAAAAGGGGCCAGAAAGGGAGTGTGACTTATAACTGGAGAGATGGAAATCTCACCTGATCAGCTGGTCTTTTTTTCATTATTCAAAATGTAAATTCTAGAGGGAGAAGGTAAAATTATTCTTGCAAAGAGCAAATCTCCTCATCCAGCCCTTCCCCAGGCACTTTTCTCTAATACCATCCCTAATCTCTAATCTGCCTTTCCTGCCAGCGTCCATCTCTTGTCCTCAAGGAGGCCAGTACCGATGGTGTTGGTTCCTGTTCTCTGTGATAGCAAGGAAATTGATCAAACCCCCATGTCCCTGGTTCATCCCATCTCGTGTGACAAACAAAATACTCGCCTCCCAAGACAGAACAAATGTGCTTTGAAAGCTTTAGGTAGGAGGTCTGTGAATAAGCAGTATTTGAGTCATTTTGTAACTGTGTATGTTTTTTCACACTCACCCTTGCTTAGTGTAACAGACGTATCTATTTTATTAAAGGCAAATTTAAGATAGCTTAAGTTGGTTCTCAGAATTAGACTATTGCTTTTCCCCATGTTATGTGACTGTAGCCTCAAAAATGCTGATCTGACTAATAGTAGTGGCTATGTTTGCTCAAGCAGAATTATTTGGGGTCTGAATGGGGTGGGAGGAAGATTCTAGAAATTTTGTACTAAAATTCTGTTTTTCTAAATATGACAATGTGTATTTCTCATACATGCTAATAGATTTTGAATAATTGTCATGGTTCTTGGCTTTGTTGGGAGTTAGTTTACATTTACTGCCCTATGCTTAATATTACTTCTAGTAATACAACCTCTGTTCTAGAAGGAATTGCAGTAAAATGAGCTGAATGTTTTGAGTCTGAGACATTGTGTCATCAGACCTCACATCTCTTGATTTCCTCAGTGTATAGAAGACAAACTTCAATAACTATCTCAAAATCTGATCATAGGTCAAGATTACAACATCTCCTTGAACAACATTTTCTATTCAATTAGCACATTTTCCTTATATATTAATTACAGATCAGTCTGTTCAGAGATGAGAAGAGCACCCTCTTCTCCTTTATGTGCTACTCATGGGAAATAATTCTGTTTCTCTAGAGTTAGTAGGTGTTAGCTTAGCAAAGAACGGTGAGTCTTAAATGTATTTATGATGTTAATATTTTACTCCTCCATCTCACTTCCCATTTAAGAATAAATATTCATGACATTAAATTAATAAAGAGCTAAGTTTTCTCTTAGGGAGGAAAGTGAGTCAGAGAAAGTTTTATGATTTGCTCACAGTTTAGCTGTTAGCACAGAAAGGTATAAAGTCCAGATACCTTAAATCTTAGACCTATGCTTCAGCCATAAAATGTATCTCTATACTATTTAGAAGATATTGCAATTACTAATTTGACACAAGTAAAATGTCTTTTCTTGCCACAGAAATACATTGGAAATGACTCAGGGTGAGTTATAGTAGCATGATCTATAACTTAGTTGGTGTACTCTACTATATGTATTCCTGCCAACACACAATATTCCAATGGTTATATTTCAGTCATTGAATTCTTTGTCCTCACTGAAACAAAAATAGCTTTGTTGAAATGAAGTCCATTCAGTTTTTGAATGTTAAGTAGCACTATCCATTTACGCATGTCTGCAGGAAATACAAGCAGCTTTGTGCTCCATAGACATAAATCCAAGGTCCTCTTGAAAAACATCAGTGTTGCTAACATTTCAGTAAAGATCCGTGTTAATAAGGGTTTAGATGTAGGTTAAGACTTAGTGTTTCATGCATAGTAGCATTCAGCCTGCAACTAGGAACTCAGAAATATTACTCACAGATCTTCAGTTAAATGTTTCCTTTAGTTTTGCAGTTAGATGAAGTAAAGCTAAACCCAAGATATCTGCTCTTCTGTTTAGTTAGAGGACAACATTTGCTTAGTGTGGACAATACTGAAACTGAGACCAAAACAGAGTAAAAATTCCTAATGAATGCTTTGAAGTTCTATGCCTAAAGATAGCCATGATCTATAAGAACTAGTAATAATCAACATTACCAATGTGAATCCTTTTGTGGGCAGAAGCACTTCCACTTGATGTCTTTTTTTTTTTCTTCTCTCTCTCTCTTTCTAGATGCAGCAACTGTTCCATGAAAACTATGAACACAACCGCAAGGGTTACATTCAAGATCTTCACAACAGCAAGATTCACACAGCCATAACACTTCATCCAAACAAAAGACCAGCCTACCAATACAGGCTGCATAATTACATACTGAGTCGCAAAATTTCCGAACTGCGCTATCGGACCATCCAGCTCCACAGAGAAAGTGCCCTGATGAGCAAGCTCAGTAACAGTGAAGTAAACAAGGAAGATCAGCAACTGGGAGTGATGCCGTCTTTCAGTCAATTCCAGCCACATGAAAGGGATGAAGTCATCGAGTGGGAGTTCCTGACAGGAAAATTTCTTTACTCAATGACGGAGAACCAGCCGCCCCGGCAAAGCCTGAGCAGCGTTCTGCGAGCTGCACTGGATGACACTGTGATGCAAGTCATGGAAATGATAAATGAGAACTCTAGATCTAGAGGAAGGCTTATTGATTTCAAGGAAATACAGTATGGCTACCGCAGGGTGGACCCTCTGCATGGAGTGGAGTACATCCTGGATTTACTGCTTTTGTACAAAAGGCACAAAGGAAGGAAAGTTACAGTTCCGGTGAGACGTCATGCTTACCTTCAGCAATCATTTAGCAAACCTTTCTTCAAAGAAGCAGAGGAGCTGAATGTAAGAAGCCTGCTGGAAGATACCGACACTGACACTCAATCTTTCTCTTTTCTTTCAAATTCTTTAAAGATTTTTTCCTCACCGTTCCAAGGCACCAAAGACATTGGGGGACTCAGTGACAAGAAAATACATATTCTTGTCCCTCTCACAGGAAGATTTGACATTTTCTCAAGATTTATGGATAACTTTGAGAAGACTTGTCTGATTCCCAGGCAGAATGTAAAGTTGGCAATAATTCTCTTCAGTTCCGAGTCAGGCCAGGATTCCAGCAAACACATACAGCTAATGAAAGAGTACAGCATTAAGTATCCTAAGGCAGATATGACCCTGATTCCAATGGCAGGAAAGTTTTCTAGAGGTTTAGGTCTTGAAATGGCCTCATCTCAATTTGACAATGGCACTTTGCTGCTGTTCTGTGATGTTGATCTGGTATTCACACGAGGCTTCCTCCAGCGATGCAGAGATAACACTATTCAGGGAGAACAGGTTTACTACCCTATCATCTTTAGCCAATATGATCCAAAAGTAATATACGGAGGCAACCCTCCAGCTGACAGTAGTTTTGTTTTCACAAAAAGAACTGGATTTTGGAGGGAGTATGGATTTGGAATTACCTGTATTTACAAAAGTGATCTACTTACTGCTGGTGGATTTGATACCTCAATTCAAGGCTGGGGACTTGAGGATGTAGACCTCTTTACTAAAGTGATAACATCTGGCTTGAAGGCTTTCAGAAGTCAAGAAGTAGGAGTTGTCCATATTTTTCATCCAGTTCAGTGTGACCCCAATTTAGATCCGAAACAATATAAAATGTGCTTAGGGTCCAAAGCAAGTACGTTTGCCTCTACCATGCAGCTCGCTGGACTCTGGCTACAGAAACATTTGGGTGTCAGGTACAATCGAACTCTCTCCTGACACCTCAGCCTATTTGGCCTTTTCAGGGGAGTTTACCTCATTGTTTGTATTATTATTTGATTTTGCGGTTGTAGTTTTAAACTCCCCCCTCGTTGTCTTCCAAAGACTGTTGACCTCAAACACAATGAGTCTGCTGTTCACTGATATTTCTTATACCTACTGAACTGATGAGGTGAATTTCTTCATATTTGCTTTATTTGAAATTCAGTGAAGTCACGGAAATCATATAATCCCATGGAGCGCATCCATCACAAGAGACTGCATCAGAAGAGTGTTCTCTCTTGGCTTTGGGATGCAGTATCATCTTTGTTGCATTTCTCAGATTTGAGATATTTACTGGTGAAGGTACCACAAAAGTGCTTTATGCTTCTTCTGGGGATGGAACTCTCTAAGATAAACTTGAGTTTTATAATTTATATGAGGACTTATATGTATAAACGCTACTTTTCTTCATCTTTAGAGTTTTTAAAGTAAATGAGTAACTATGATTGTACCTTTATTTTTTAAAAAAAAAGAAAAGCTGAGGAGCTACTTGCAAATACAACTGGTACCGGCTACCAAGGTCCTTAAATGTCTTACTATAATAACAAACTCCTTGTTGTTGTTCACTCTAAGTGTAAATGAACTTTCTTTTCACAAGGAACAGGAGTTAGTCAAATGTTCATGTACACTTTAGAAGATTTGTGAACCAACATCATTCATTTGCAGGCAAGAAGAAACTGTGACTTAGCATGATAATTTATGATAAAGTGCAGGCATACAGTATATTTTTTTTGAAACACATAGTATAAGTTGCTGTTTCTCTTTGTAGAAGGAGTCTCTAGTACATAATTTTCTTTTACATTCCTTTCATAAAGCTGCACTTGATACAGTGTTAGAAGTGAAAGGTGTTTGGTTTTTTTTTAATTTTCCATAAATATTGGTATTCAGTAGCAATTTGTTGTTAAAATTAGAATAATTATAGAATAATTATTTAAGTTTCAAAATTCACTATTGCTGGTCAAAGTTCCTTGCCAATACATTTAGATTAGTGGAGGTTATAAGACTGTGTTAAGATTTGTCTCTCTCGACAACCTGAAGTTGTCATGCTGTGGATTCATGGAGTAAAGTATTTAAAATTATGCCAGCATAAGAAATAACAAAATCAATTTCTCTGTTTTGGAGAATTGTTTATATAGGGATATATATGTGTGTGTGTGTGTGTATGTGTGTATATATCCCTATATATAGATAGATATATAAAGAGAGTAATTTCAAAGTACGTTCCTTTTTCAGTTCAGGCAGCGATTTGTTACAGTCTTTATTTTTGCCACCTACTTGGAACATTTCAGGTTATAGCATGTTAAGAGCTCAAAGGCATCCAAGAAACCATCAGAATTCAGCCAAACTTAAATTAATACAGTGAGTACATCTAATAACCTCAATAACCTTGATTTCAAACTATATTTCAGATAGAGTTGGGCAAGAAAAAGTAAGCAATTATTGAATTTACGCTTCTAAGTTTTTCAGCTGTAGCTGACTCCTTCTCTATTTCCTTTTGGAAAACAACTAAGAGATTGGAATTCACTGACACATCTGTTTGTACAAAGATATCCTGATAAATTTCCTAAGGCATGAGGAGGGTGTGTAGGCCAGTTAATGTCTCTTATCTGTGTTTCTCTGTCCTGGATTTACCATACAAGGAAGACAACATCCCTGAAAAGGAATAAGTAAACTCAGAAATAAAGGGCTGGCCATAGCTTTTCGAATGCTTTAATAAAGGCCATCTCCATTGTCTTGGAGAAAGTAGTAATTGTGGCAGGTGAGGACAGATAGAAGATAATTCATGCTTGTCTGCCCTCCCCAAGGAGAGGTCCTGGCTTGTTATTCTCCTGGAGGCTCTTGCCTTCTTAGCCCAGTATTGTTAGCTCAAATGCCTGGAGAAAGTAAAATTATTACTTGTGAAATAATTCTTGGAAACCACTCTTTGAATTGAATGCAAAGGTCACACTTTCATCAATAAGGGACCCAAGACAAGGAACATACAATTTAGTTGATCAGGCTCAACTAACTGATGCAACTCAGCTTTAAAGTATCAAAACCTGAATGCCTGTTGATAAAAGATTGTGATGACTTCAGAAACATGAGAAAAAATAATGATTTACAAAGACATCTAAGGAAATCATTGTCTACTGGGATGTATTCCAGTGCTTATTTCAATTACTTAATTTAGTGGCCAGAAAGTATTTGCTCAGCTCAAAGTAAAATAGTAGATTAGAACAAGAAATGAAACCAATCATTAAGTGGGGATAAAGATGTATACAGAGGGCTTGCAGGATCAGGTCCTACATGATATAAGCAAAATGCTATTATTTACCAGTACAAATATTTATTTAGTGTCTGACTGATTCATTTGTTTATATGATGAATTACTTTGTTAAAAACCTGATTATAAATGTTTATTATGAAATATTGCATTGTCTTTTGAAATAACTATCCTGAGATAACTTGAGAACTTGTGTTAGTTTGTTTAAGGAATAATATGCCTTCTAAGGAGATCATATTAAAAGAAAAAAAAAAGCACAAAAGTGTAGAGTAATGTTATGGTTGTGTAGATTAAGATGGGAATGTATGTGCTAATCAACTATTTGCTGTTGTCTAGTCTGAATCATAATCTTGATTGTAAAATGAAATTTCTGTGTGTGTGATGTGCCTTTGTAAATGCATAACTAATGAATTGATGATAGAAAATAATGACCAATTTTTCCCAAAACCTCCTTACCCTAGGAATAGGTTCCCTGGTTTGATTTCTGGGAAGCAAGTTGTGAACTGCTTGCACTTTGGCTTTTCAGACACTGCCTTTCTCAAAAAAAAAAATCTCAGCAATCACCACACAGAAACCTCAGAAAACCCTACAGCAACCTCATCCTGACATGTTTTCCTATTCACAGTACTTAATTTAACAGAGCTTTTGCATCTTCTGGATGAAGGAAAAACATCAGGTTGGGCTTCCTAATACTTGCTGAGTATCCTCTGCATCAGGGCACTGGTTCTCAAGCTGGAGAAAGGCAGAGGGCCAGAAGGAGGTGTAAGGCTCAGCCTTCTGCCCAAGTCACCTTCTTGCCGCCTCCAGCGCTGCCAGATGCCTCTCCTTCAAGGTCCAAACACGCAGCGCAAGCCAGTGCAGGAGATGAGCTGTGCTTGCTGCCACCACTTGCTTTTGGGAAGCAAAAGGACCACCTCAATCAGAGCTTGGGAGGAGTGAAAGGAGGATACCAGACTGAGGTTTCATTGGGTTGGGGTAGCAGGGTATCTTGTGCAGATCCTGTGTCTCCCTGTCCCCGAGTGGAAACGGAGTCTGGTCCCACACCTCTTCCTTGTTTTCTCTCTACGGGCATTGCCAAGGAAGGGGCAAATGCAGCAGTCCTCCCACTCAGTGGGACTAGTGGACCTGGACCATGTGCCTGGAGTCCTACCATATCATGGGATGTGGGGATAAAGGTGCCAAATTGTCTTCCCTAAAAGCAGTACGGAGCGAGGCACCTCCTGCCTTCACCAAAGACCAGAAGGATGTGCACAAATGTGCCTTTTGGAGCCTTTGTACCAGTGTGTGCGTAATAGTGCCTCAAGACTCTTCCAAAAATTGTAACGCTGGTAAAATAGCTCAGAGGAGTGTACTGCGGATCCTGAGGAACTGTGGAGACCTCCAGCGAGCTTGAGTTAACAATCACTTTCTTTGAATAGAGCAAATAAGCAATTTAAACCTCTTTTGGTTTCTTGAGAAGTAATTCTAGTGATTAGTTAAGACATAGTTTGCCACACAGAAGATTTTTCTCAACATAACAAGGCTAGCTTTAAGATATAAACAAAACACATGTGCAGTCTACATCTGATTTTCCTGCAACTTGAAATTGATTAAAATTTTGGGGAAAAAATATGGACTGAAAATTGATGAGCTGCTGACCAGAGAATAGTTTTGTGTTTCTGCTCTATTTTTGAAAGAGGATCAGATGAGAAGGAAACAAAAAATTGCTATAACAGATGCACATAAAAATCAACCATGATGTGAGGGTAGCAGTGATGATTATGGTCCTAACCTGCAGCACAATGAGAGGTTTCACAAGAGTCTAAATATTTACAAAAGTGAATATCACTGAGGGTTACACTCTGTCATAAGTCTGTAAGTAACATATAAAGTTAAATCAGTCTATTTTTAATTCTTTCATTTCTTAGAATAATTTTCTTTACTTTTTCTTCTGTCAGCATTTATTCACTTGATTAATGAGCTGACTTTTCATGACTCACTCTCTCCTTGCTATTTTTATTTTCCTTGGGTCGTCCTATTTGCAGTATCTATTACAACAGTATTTGAAACTTTTTGAGCTAACATGATATTTCTGTTACAGTTTTATGATGTCACTGCCATATAAAACTGCTGAGCTAGAGTATTTTGCTGAATGAGTTTCCAGTCCTGCTTTAAATTTTTTCCATTTGCCCGTCATTGTAAGTTCAAAGTGTTCTAAATATTATTGACTCATCCCTTCCTATGGTCTCCTTCATACTGGAATACCACCAAGGCAAGGAAATGCAAAAACTTTCCAATCCTTAAGTCTAGGAAAGCGAACAGAATCTGGGGATTTTCTTGATTTCTTTGTTTGTTTGTTTGGGGTTTTTTTGCCTTCACATCTTTTATCTAGAATTCCAGAAGCATATTTATCAGTTCCATAATTTTAATAAAATAAATAATGGTTATTAACATGTAAGACAGCACATATAAGGACTATATAATACAAATTGTAATTTTACATTCTTATTTTCTAGGCACCTATTTATTCAACAGGTGTTTGCCATTTATGGTAACTTTGAAGATAAATTAAAAGCGTCCTTGCTGATTCAGTGTTTATTTAGCGTTAGTGGAAAGCTTAACCATGTAAACAGAGATCAAAAGGTGTACTATATACTGTAGAACGCTGGGTTTTGTTTCTTGCATAGTGGTGGTAGGAAGATCTCCTCGGCTCTGCATAGGATGCCTGCAGTGTGGTAGTGGTCTTGACAAATCAGCTGCGCGTCTAGCAATGACCTTAAGTGACTGCAAAGCTGTGGGCATAGAATCCAGCTTCGTACAGCACACAAGACTTATTGGACCTACCTAAACACATGAGAGACTGATCCTCAGATTCAAAGAGACTCTAGCATGGCATAATCACATGGTAGGTACATAGGTCAAATATGTCTTGCTGCCACAACTTCTGGGCATATCCACTAAAGGCATCCCTTTGAAAAGGAGGCACCAGAAGTGAAATGGGCTCTGTGAACATATTCCTAAAAGAGATGTATGCTAGCTAACGTAGCTGCCAAATATTTTTACTTAGAGCAGGTAAATTGCCTTTAGGTGATTTCATCAAAAAAGAATGCAAAGAATATAGTGAATTGTGAAAAAAATGAATGCTTATGCTTGAAATTGTGGACATTTTTATTATTGGTTATTTGGGAAGCCTTCATGACTTGCTCTTGCCCT